TTTTTTTATTACCTTTATTACCTCTATATCGAAGAAAGCGTTAACGTTTTAGCCCCTTCTTCGAGAGAATATTTGCGGAACATCCGTGCAAGCATCCGGTGATCGTACTGAAGGATTTCCCCGGTCACGAAGTCGCGGCATTAATCGACTTTATGTATCGCGGGGAAGTGCGAGTCGGTCGAGAAGAATTGGCAGGACTGATGAGAGCGGCCGAGAGTCTGCAGGTCCGGGGACTGGCTTCGTCGGAACCGAGGCCGGCATCACCGCCGGACACACCAGTGGCCGATCTTCTTCTCGGCGAGCCATCCACGCCCGAGGAAACTAGACAGGATACTCAGGAAGACGACGATAATGCGTCGGAGATCGCAGCAGCAGCAGCCGCGGCCGCGGCAGCGACAGCGGCGGCGGCTGCGGCAGCGGCAGCACGGGCATCGATCAGAGAAACGATCACGACGCCTATAAGAACGATCTTCCATTCTTCGAGGGACCATCGCGATAGATTACCGCACATGGCTCATCTGAGCTTTGGCATACGGGAGCTAAGGGAAGCCTGCAGTTCCCCTCTTATGCCACGTCGGAAACAGGCAAGACCACGCCGAAGATCCGGAGAATTGGTACCGCAAGACTTGAGCAGGCCGCATCCACCGCCAAGTCTGAGCCCACCGTTTTCCTCTTTGAATCTGACCAATAATCAGCAACAGAGTCAACACCATCAAGGTCAACACCATCCACAGGCATCGTCGAATGCTACGAATCAGCAGCAGCAGCACCAGCAGCAGCATCAACAACAACAACAACAACAACAACAACAGGAGGAAATGGCAGAGAATTTGTCGATAAAGAGAACAATCTCGCCGATAGCCCAAGACCAGCAGCAGCAGCAGCAGCAACAACAACAACAACAACAACAACAACAACATCACAGTCAGCAGCTGCATCAAGTAAAGACCGAAAGTAGCGAGGCAGCGAGTAGTCCGCGAGGGTCTCCCCTTACCGGTACGAGTCTTCTCCATCTCGATGGTTCACCCCAAGACATCCCATCGGCGGCAGCCGCTGCCGTTGTCAGTATACCTGGTATGTCGGCGTTGTCGTTGACTCCGCCGCATCATCACAGCGAGTATCTAACGAGTTTGGGTCAATTGGCGGCCCAGTGGCTTCCTCAGAATCACCCGCAAAGTCAGCTACCACCGCCGCCAACGCAAACTCATCATTCGCGGGACGACAGTCCTCTCGGTTCCGCTAGAAACACGCACGCCTATCAACAACAACAACAGCAGCAGCAACAGCAGCAGCAACAACAACAACAACAACAAGAATCATCGCTGACGTCTAGACGTGGCTCGATCGCGGCGATGTTTCCCCTCGACAGCGTTGCGTCTTTGAGCGGTGGACTCTTTCCTCACGGTACCGCCATCGATAGGGGATCCCTCTTAGCGGATCTCCACGAAAGTTTTAAACCGGAACAGTTACACGGATTATTCGGACCGGCCACCTTGACGACTCATCCTTCCGGTAAGAAGAAAAAGCATAGAACCGACGGCGACGCACCGAGAAGATGGTCGGATCAAGGAGGACGTGGTTTGCCGGTTGGAAGACCAAAGGGTCAACACAGCGCACCCCGAGGCGGCCCACCAAGATCTTGGACTAATGCCGAACTTACCGAAGCATTGCAACACGTTTGGAACAAGAAGATGACGACGTCTCAGGCAAGTCGAATATTCGGCATACCATACAACAGTTTGTTGATGTACGTGCGCGGTAAATACGGAAAGAGCTTGAAGTTGGAGCAATTGAGAAGAGATTGCACCGGAGCTACAACCGGCGACGTAGTCATGAATTCTTTAAACAACAATGTCAAAGCCGTTCAACAACCACCGGCGCAGCTGAGCCATCCTCTCGCCGGTCTTCCACCCCATCCGGCCGACGACAGTGGCTTTCCTCATCACTCGCTCCTCGGTACGAACCTTTCTCAAAGTTTTTTCCCGGATTTTACCACCTCTCCGTTCCCCGTGCCAGTTAATATGATACATCTTCTAACACCGAGCGAACAAAAAGCTTTCGAGCCTCCTCCGAATCCCGGTGGTGGTAACAGCAATGCCAGCGGAAGCAACAGCGGTGGTACCGGTACCACTGGAAATGGTACCACCGCGGGAAGTTCTGGTACCGCAGCAGCGGCTGCCGCAGCCGCCGCCGCCGCTGCTGCCGCCGCTGCAGCTGCTGCCGTTGCCACGGCTTCGAGCGCTCCGGAACACGGCTCGTCTCATAGTAGTCGGACGCCCTCGCCGGTAGACCATCATCACCATCGTCACCGTCATCATCACCATCATCATTATCATCACGAGTCGCTGCAACCGCAGCCTTCGCAGTCGGCACCGGCGTTGCTTCAACAAAATGGCTCGGATTAGTGGAGATGAAAACGGTAGGAGAAAATGAGGAGGGCGGGGGGGGGGGGAGAGAGAAAGACAGGCAGACAGACAGACAGACAGAGAGAGAGAGAGAGAGAGAGAGAGAGAGAGAGAGAGAGAGAGAGAGAGAGAGAGAGAGAGAGAGCGGGAGGGAAGGAGCGAGGGAGAGAAAGCGCGTGCGAGCGAGCGAACGAGCGAGAAAAAGGGAGGAAGGAAAATGCTGAAAAAGACTGGACACATACTTTATATCGATCGTAATTGTTATCTTCCTTTAAGAATCACGGACGTTTGATCATCCGAGAAAGGATTTCGATGCCCTTCCTTCGTTGCCTCGTTCTTTAAAATATCTACGTTTTCGCGCGATCATATATTTATACGTGAAACATTCGAGTTTATCCAAGACGAAAGTTATATCTTCTGCAAGACTGAATGGACCGACGACCGATGCTCGCGATCCCCCCGGATCATTGATTCGACCGAACGTTCTCCCTGCTCGAATCATATTCTCGTTTCTCGTGTCTTTTACATCGGCCATCTTTGCCCGTTCATTCGACGTTTAAACTCCACATCTACGCTATCCTTTTTGTAAATTAAACTCGCATTAGCATATTTCATATAATTTCATTTAATTCAATCGATCATGATAATCGTCAAGGAAAGGTCGAAGTGTGCTTTTTCAATTAAATTCCAATGCGAAAGGAAATATCACTATTATCAAATCTTTTCTCATTTTCTCGTTAAAAAAGATAAAAACAACAAAAATTATTAACATCGATACGTCCTTAAAACAATCCGCTTTCGCGTTCGCTACTTCAATGAAACATCCGTACGATGTGAATTTTGATCCCGACAAATCGGGACAAAAAAGTCAATTTTCTACAACTTTTAACTTCAATCACGCAACTTTTACACCTATTCTTTCAACGAGCATAACGTTCAGGGATCGGTCCAACGAACAGATACTTATACAGATATTTATGTGCGCTTTGACACGTTGGTCATTCCTTTTCTATCTAGTTTTTCCATTAATCGTTATTATTCCGATATTAAATCGACTTAATGATGTTATCGTTTCGTTGTTTTATCGCGATAAACGTTCCACAGAAAATTCGATTTGAGCGGTTTAAGATCGATCAAGGCGTCGTTCGGGAAGTAAGTTCGACGAACGGAAGAGAAAAGATGCGTAACTCACAACTCTTCTCTCGCTGATACAATGATAGAATGAGAAAATTTTATGTGGCCGTTAGAAGCGCCAAGCTCATTTTTCGAATGGTGCGAATTTCGACGAAAGAAACGACGAATTTTAATCGTAGACCACAATCTCGCAACAATATTTCGACAACCAGACGGAAGCGCAGGGTAACTAACGCATCAGGGATAGCCACTGACAAATCTACGATAGATAAAAAAGAACTTACATATTAAAGTGTAAAGGTTAAAAATAATTACATAAAGCTATAATACATACGATTATTTCATTAAAGTACTAAAGAAAGAGAAATACACAAAAAAATTGCTCGAGAGCGACAGGAAAGAATGATAAAAATTCGTTACGTCAAACCTTGCTACGCGAGCGAGGGCAAGATGCATATATTATTAAAAAAAAAAAACCAAAAAAAAAAGAAATATCTTAAGTAGAAAGGTAATAAGGAAGGAAATATATTCGAATACGACAAGAAGGGTTCGAATAAATACAATTAGAGACTACAGGCTATCAGCTCCAAATAGCCTGTACACGACAAACTGATATTATTGATTATTAATGATATATATATATATATATTATATATATATATATATATATATATATATATATATATATATACATATATATACACAGGGTGTGTCAAAAGAGATTACAACTAGTTCGACGACCTGTACCGTGGGTTCGATATGTTACTTCCGCATATTTTCCAGCATCGTAATTTCTGTATACGCGTTATAATTTAACGAGTCGTCGTCGAATGCTTCACGATCGATCGTATCCTTTGTCTATTTTGACATAAACTTTGTTAATCCTGGACGAATTTGACTTTTTCGAACGACAGTTTAACAAACTTTTTTCCTCTTTTTTGATACAAAACGAACCATGACGGTACAGTCTTGACGAAAATGGTTTTAACGATTTTTTATTCACTCTGTTAATAAAAAGGACACTCAACGGGCTGGTAAGAGCGAACAGATAGAAGGGGGAAAGAGCGAGAGAGTGAGAGCGAGAGAGAGAGAGAGCTAGCGAGTGAATGAACGAGAGAGAACTAATGAGTGAATGAACGAGAGAGCGAGAGAGCGAGAGAGAGAGAGAGAGAGAGAGAAGAGAGAGCTAATGAGTGAATGAATGAGAGAGCGAGAGAGCGAGAGAACGAGAGAGAGAGAGAGAGGGAGAGAGAGAGAGAGAGAGAGAGAGAGAGAGAGAGGATTTTACGTATGATATAAAAAGCGATCAAATTAGCCGTGCGATCGACGAAAATGCATGTAAATGCATTTCATTTACTAAATAGACATATGTGATAGGCACCTTGTGCAGACTTCAGTATTATTTTGCAATTAATGAAATATCAGTATATAAGGTAGATAATCTTTGAAACTTTTGCCTATTTCGTTATAAGTCTTCTAGAGAAAGAAATAAGAACGAGTTCCGGCCATTCGCCGATCATAAGAAGAGACACGTCTCGTCGCAGTTCTCTCTCCTTCTCTTTCTCTCTCCCTCTCTCTCTTTCTCCCTCTCTCTCTCTCTCTCTTTCTCTCTCTCTCTCTCTCTCTCTCTCTCTCTCTCTCTCTCTCTGTTCCAAAATATCATTACAATTAAACGAAAAGCGGAAGTCACAATTAGACGAAAATAAGTCTAAGACGGTGCTAGACAAAGTACGAGGAAACCTATAGATCATGGATTATCTTCGTCGTTATCGTGTCACTGTGAATTGTGCATGTTACATTCATACCAATCGGTTATTTTATTTAATATAAGAGATGCATTCTCTCATATAGAGAGGAATGTTGGTCAAATGTTAATTAACTCTATACATTTATGCGTACTCGTAAATATTGACACGATGCGAGCGGGAAGCACTTGGTTGTGTTAATAATTTCTATTACAATCGATTATTGAAGGAAAGGTACTAAAAACGAAAAGAAGGGAGAAAGAGAGAGAGAGAGAGAGAGAGAGTGAGAGAGAGTAAGAGAGAAAGAGAGAAAGAGAGAGAGAGTGAGAGAGAGAGACGAATAATTTGAACGTGTATAAAACCTAATATAGATGATTATGAAAGATCGTATTCGAATGTTAAAAACACGGATCTTAATGGCTCGTTATTAATATCATTTCAGCGTTTATACCACGCTATTATCATTATTACTTTTATCGCTATCGTTATTTTTATTCATCCTTGTTATCTCTTCACCATCGTGGTCACACGATTATTCGGTATTACTATATTATTACCATTATTATTATATTTTTTTCCTTTTTTAATCTTTTTCGATTCTTAATCCTTTTTATTTCAATTTATTATTATTATCATTATTATCATTATTATCATTATTATCATTATTATTATTATTATTAATATTATTATTATAATTATTATTATTATTATTATTATTATTATTATTATTATTATTATTATCATATTACTACTACTATTATTTTCATTATTATCTTCATCATTTTTATCATCACCGTCATTATCACTATTGTCTCTGCCACTGTCATTGTTCGTATCTATAACTAATTAAATATCGGCTATCGATGCCAAGGATTATCATTGTTCGTATTATACAATTTTTGTAAACAATTAGCACCTTTGCTATCATAACGGATCGGCAAGTAGGACCGTCGTCTATCTTGTAGAAAGAAAGAAACGAAACTATCACGACATATCTTTTCGTTGCTACTGTCGCATAGTTGATTTTCTTATAATTCTATAGCTTACGCATGCACCAATTCCAGTTGGTTTAATTAGCGAGATCGAGCGATCATCGATCATTTGCTATTTTGTTAAAAACGATCACACGATGGACCAAGCGAGCGTGCATTAATATTAGAAAAAAAAAAAAGAAAAAAGTAAAAAAAAAGAAATAAATATATAAATAATTAAAAAAAAAACAAAAAAAAACAAAAAAAAACAAAAAAAAAAATAAGAAAAAAATTATAAAAAATAAGACGTGGTGCGAATCGCTAGAAAAAAAAGATACCTACGTAAAGAGTCCATTAAGAATCATCCGTTTTGGGAAAGAGCCAATGTTGGATCGATAATATCGACTTTTTAAATCATCTCTATTTGTCCATCGTGCGAACGAAAAACACCTTTTTTACTAGCATTTAGTAACGCTAAAAATGTATGTTATCGTCGCTATTATCGTTCTCTTATGGTCATTATCGCAAGGTCTACGCGCACCCATGATATTGCCAAGCGACGGTCTCGTCGACACGCGTAATTATATACGCGTTATTATTAATTACACGATCATTACCAATTAGATATCTATATATGTATACACATACGTGTATTTATAGAAAGCGATACACGTGTATGTTTACATGTATGTAAGCCGGCCGTTATTATTGACAGATATAAAACGACAGATAAAAAGGTTTTATTTTCTCTGGGACTCCGCGCAACACGAAGTCACCGTCTTTAAGTTCCTACAGTATGAGGGGTGAAATAGTATGATTATTCGATAAATATGAAGTAAAACTGAGAAAGTATTTTCTTTCTTGTTGAAAGCATTAGCGCGAACGAACGAGCGATTGTAAGAGAGAAGATTAAAGAAAAAGAAGGAATGAAAGTGAGTGTGTATGAGAGAAGGAGAGAGAGAGAGAGAGAGAGAGAGAGAGAGAGAGAGAGAGAGAAAGAGAGAGAGAGAAAGAGAGATAGCAAGAACCGAAAGAAGAAAGAAAGGATGAGATGCCTCTGAAGACATTATTTTCAATTTATGTAATATTACACGTGTAAATAGGACCGAAAAATGCGCAATCGATTATTTATGCGTAATATATACATATGTGTATATATATATATATATACATATATATATATACACATATATATATATATATATAAATATGTGTATATATAGGTATATATACATATATATATAT